AAAATTTGCAGAATTTGGAAAAATTCCATCTCGAACATGCACTTTGCGATCACATAGTCTCAACGAGCGGTCGCATAGACTAAGTAAAATCCACCCAGAGATTCACTGTTTTACCAACATACAATCGCATGCATAAGTAAGCTATGCAACCGCTATTCGCTCGGTCTCTTCATCCATTACGTAAACCAAGTTAAATCAACAGGTTTTCATTCACGAGCCCAACATGAAACTTGTTCTTTTGTCTGCCAAGATCGACGTTTCATCCATTGCAGCTTGAACAAGCAATCTCATCACTTCTTTGACCCTCGTCGCTTGCGACCAAGTCATCGGTCCTTTTTCGACAATCAACGGATCCTTGCGTGGATTTGTATTCGTTGCCCTCGTTCCATGGATCACATCAAATAGATTAATAGTTTCATTTAGAAAGATGAATTGGTTTCATATTAAAAAATTATTCAAAATCTTCTTTATAGGGTATGAGTGTACAAGTCATATAATCTACAACCTGTTTGAGTCGATATGGACTCAATGTTAGTGGTCCAATTGTGGCATTTAATGGTGTGTTATGTACGTCGTGAAAGAAATCTTTCAACTAATATCAGCGGGGAAAGAATTGTGGCAAATAAAGCTCATCAAACTAAGAGTGGTAACATTCTGAAAAGAAAATCAAAGGTTAATAGAAGGGAAATTGACGGAAATTTAAGAACGTCTAATAGAATGAGAATTTATACTCCGCTATGAGGTCATTGTATGACACCACTACTAGTTGAATTAAAAGAAGAGACTGTTTTACATTTTTCTTTAATTGAAAATTAGAAGAATGTGACATATCGAAATAAGGAATAGTTTAGTTGCATAGTATTATAGATCGAAATAAATGAAATTTGCAATTCTAAAGTTGAAATAGAGAAGGTCTTAAAGAATAATTAGCACAAAACGTCATCATCATTTACATTCATTGCCCAAATTATTCCTATTGGTTTAAACTTGACATTTGCACTCTTATTTCAACAATTTTTTGCGAAGTTGAGAATTTTCGTCTCATCGTGTCATTTCCTTCCATTAAATATGGATAATTGAAATGAAAGAACATAGAAATTCTCGTATTTTGTGGCGGAAATGAATGAAAAGCAATTGGCGTAAAACTTCCTATATTTTGCCTTTATTGCATAAATTGTCCTTGTCGCTTCAATTTTAACATTTTAGACCTCATATCGACTTTTATTTGCACAAAAGGTTCGTACCGACTATTTTCTCCATTAAAGTATTTAAAACAACTAATTTGTCATCCTCTTTAAACAAACAAATAGAAAAGAAAGAATGAATGTGTGTGTGTATTATTACAGCTAGAGTTCTAATCTTTTTAAAAAGTACAAACGGGTTTCACATAAAAAAATATCAAACGTACTAATAAAAGAAAAACATTTCATCTTCCCAATTGACAACATCTACCCCTACCCATATGCCTATTCCCTCTCCCTCCCCTCAACCACCACCACCACCTCTTCCACCCATTCTCCTATCCCATTGCGACACAATCCAAGAATTTAGCCTTTTTTTCTTTTCTTTTTTTTTTTGCAATCATGTTTCATGTTGAAATATCTTTTTGTTTTCAATAAAGTTACAAGAATTTTTTAAGGATTTAAATATGTTCCAGCAAAGTCTTATTTCTATATTCTTGTTGCTGATTCTAGAAATATATTTATATTGTATATATCCACTGCATCGACTTTTGAATTTTTCTTTGATTTTGTTCAATTTTTTTTCCTCACAAAATTATATCAGAAGACGAGATTTCATCTTCCATTACATGGATCGTTTAAGATCTTAATTCAAACTCCAATCGCAACTATTCTAATTCAAACTCATCTAAGAGGAAAATAAATCCCTTTTTTTTTGGAAGATAAATTTATTTGTTAATATGTTTTAAATTACTTGAAATGGGACTCGTTTGAACTATCTGAAAAACTTAGGATTTTGACTACAATTATTTCTTTTTCATATATCTTTTTCTTTTCTATTTGTTTGTGGCTATATATATTCACACCACAATTTTTAATAACTAGACTATTTAATGTAGAGGTTCATAACATTTACACATTATCACATTTATATCTTAGACTTTTTTTAGCGCATTCTTATTTTTAAATTAACATAAATTATTTCAAATTATGGTTTCTTTTCAAAAAATAAAAATAAAATTAAGATGTAATAAAAAGACTAATTTGACCATTGTATTTATGAATAAGCAAAACAAATAATAATGTAAAAATGTAATTAAATATTTTACACTCATTTTGAAGCAGGTTAACCAAATTTTTTTGACAAAAACCATGATTAAGGACAAATTTTTTTGATTAATGAAATGTTAAAAATACAAATATGATGAAATAAAAAGTTAAAGATATAAATGTTGTAATGAATAAAAGGTTAATAACTTTTAGTATAATTAAAATGTAGAGTGTGTGTGTGTGTATATAATCACCATTTTTTTATTTTTAAAGAGGATGGTAAATCAATCATTTTACGATGCTTTGATGGAGGAAATAAATGGTAAGGACCTTTTGGGCAAAGAAAGGTCGATCTGAGAGTCCAAGTGCTAAAATTGAAATGATAGGAATGATTTGAAAAATAAAAACAAAAGGTCAAAAAAAATTTCACAAATTACTCATATTTGAAGGAATGAGACGGAAATGACCAACTCCACAAGGAAAGGCTAAAACGAGAGTGTAAATGTCAAGTTTGAAACGATAGGGACAATTTGTGCAATGAATACAAACTATGAAGATTTTTGTGCTAGTTATCAAGGTTTTAAATATTTTTCAAACGCGAGAAGAGTGTTAGTTAATTATATCTATTCATCTCTTCAATATTGAAAAATGGAGGAAAGTTACATTCATTTATTTATGAAATTTGAATGAAAGTTTGGCACTGACAACCGATCAAAGTGAAGCACTTTTTAATGCAATGCACCATAACAAGATGGATAAAGATGGGTGTACGGGCCTCACACATAAGGTGGGTTCCACACTTCATTAACAAAATATTCCAAAAATGCCCACTCACCCTTTGTTTGTAAGGAGCCTGTGAGGGTTCTGCCCTGGCAATACAACATCGTCCTAACAAAATAAAGACAACCATCTACCTTAGATTCTCCTAAACACCCCCCCCCCCCCCGGTCCCCCCGCAAAAAAAAAATGTAAGTCCCACAAATACATAATTATCGGATAGGTCCTCAACAGTGCAACCAAGGGTGATCGATAACATCGTGATAATATGAGACTTTTGTAACTGTGTAGAGAAGTACAAAAGATATAAACTCATATTTCGATCAATAAGGATTTATCTTAGAATGCATTATAGAAATTGGCACTCTACCAGGGTCGAAAAATCAGTTATTCAACCAACGAAAGTAATATACATAGATGACGAGTCAAGATGATATAATTTGTAGGGAATTAATTTATATTGTGTATATGATTTTTTATATAATTTAAGAGTTCAAATTTTCACCTGTAGTGAAAAAAATGAAAACTGAAAATTAACTGAACAATCTCGAATGGGATTGACTGAATATAATTATTGTAGCTTAAATAATATTAGTCCAGTCAAATCCCTTTGATAATTTCAGTAAAAACTATAAACTTAATCTCATTACTAATAATAGATACAAAAAGGACTAAATAGAACTGGAGTACGACCACCGTAGTTCATCATTGTGGCCGTCCCCTAGAATAGAAACGAGGGAATTGTTCTCTTGGCTTCTTGTTCTGATCAAAAAACTTATAATTTTATTCATGACGTGTTCATTCACTAACTGCAGTTTTGGAGACTCTCGAAGAAGATCCCAGGATTGGAATCTAGAAGGTTGAAGATCGATATTCAAGATTGAAACAGCAGTTGCTGTCAATAGGAAATAATTCAAGATTGAAGCAGCGATTGTTCGGATATTTGTATGGTAGATTTTCTCCTTTAATAATACTCTCTATTTAGAATGTCTGGTATGAGTAGCCTATGTGACAAATTGTTTAGTTGTTCAGTATATTTATATATGAATAATGTCGAAGTGCCTGAAATTGGGTGACCGACTCTCACATGGAGCGTGAACCCCACGTGAATAAAATAATGCCTGATCCTCTAGATGTGAGTGTTCGATCATCCTGCATGTTAACCATTATGTTTGTGTAGTATGGTCCTTTATATATTGGACAAACGTAGTAATCGGTTGTTACTTCTTTTTATATCCTTTTTTTTTTTTTAAATTTAATTGCTTTTGCTTTACGCGAATTGTGGAGGTAGGGGTCGTTAAAGCTACAGAACTGTCGATCTATAATTAATTAACAAGCGCATTAAAAGTGTGTGAAGTCTCATTAGCAGTGTCGGATCAACCACAATACGGGAGAAGTGCGAATTTAATTTTCTTCAAACGTTACAACACCATGATGCTTCATCAATATTAAGAAGATTAAAAACTATTATAGTTAATTAAAGCGTTTTAATTCTCATAATTATTGTTGGATTAAGTGCGACTTTATTTTTTGTTCAAAGGTTATATGGTGTCCTTGCATAAAAATTAAGATGTTAATTGAAATAAATAAATAAATTATTTTAAAGAATAAATGAAGTCATTGTTCGGCACTATGATTATAAATTATCATTATTATTGTTTCGAAACTTTTTTTTTTCCATTTTTTAAGTGGCTTTAATTCGGTAGGTTAACAAACAATTGTGTGGAGTATGCTAGTTTATAGAAAAGTTCGACTTTTGTTATGTTGTTCGATTTTATTAAATTTATACGTTCGTGTCTCGGCACATCAGTTAAGTTCATCAAGCATGTTACATAAATCTTGTGCCACTTGTCTAGTCGTATGCAACAGTTGAGAATCTTCCATTGCATAGTTATGAATAAGCGATAACTTCTAGTAATATTACTTCCCAATTTGCACTTGGATGACGAGATAGATGATAATAATAAAGATTCAAATAAATTAAAACTCTGATAGACAGCAAATGATCTTTGAACTTTTATTATGCATTTTACTGAACTACACAGCAGAAATGCAATGGAAAGATTAAGAAATACAGTTGGTTGGCTTGTGTATTCTTGTACTTAGAAGATATAACCTACACATGATTCAAATCCTGTAAAGAAAAGACAGTTACTGCGAGTCATACTCGCCCTCAGTCGTGTCATGTTCCTTCAGGGAATTCAGTGATTCCAGTGGAAGCTGGCTCCGGTACTGCTGCACTACCAGAACTGATGCCGTGGTCGAAAAATCTGGGGAAATTAATAAGTTCCCGACTGGCCCCAATTCCGGGCATTCCCTCCTTCTGTTAAAAGCTGCCACTAATTGACCCTCCGGCATTCTCCCCACGAGGAAGAGATTGCAACGGCTATACGAGCGAATCACGTCAATAGTTTCCTGAGCATCTTTTATCATCTTCTCTTCAAATTTGATTGAGCTGTCGTTTGATACTTTCTCCTTGACCTCTGCAAGGAATTCTTCATCCTCTGATCTAGCTTCAGGACGATCTTGATCGTTAATATCAAGTCTTACAGTCTCCCCGGCTACCTTATGGTCTGTAGTGAATTGAACGACGTTCAAATTGATGCCAGGGTGCTCAGCCATCCGTGCACCGTACGAAAGAGCTTCACGATCATCATTGCCTCCAAAGAAGAAGACTGCAACAGTATACTCAACATTGCTTGCAGACACATGTGAAGTCCCACCAAGCCCCCGGTCAACTAAAATACCAACAGAACACGGCGCATGCTCAAGAACCCTTCGGTTTACATGTCTCAAGTCAGCTCGTGTTGTTTCTAAATGTCCATCAAGTCTCTGATGCTTATGGAAGGGAAGAATTATCATTGCTACCCTCTTCTTCTCAGCGCTCGAACAGATGTCCTCGTGCATGCTGGACATTGCTGAGATTGCAGTTGTTGGTCGGATAGACACTTGGCTAAGGTGCTGGAATGCCTCAAAAGCAACGACAATTTGATTTGGATCAGAATCTTGCCACTTATTCCAAAATGGCATCCCATTTTTCCTCGCCTTATGGACCATTAATATTGCAGATGATCGTTCGGAAAGCTCCATCAAGTGCATAGCATAGACGCGAAGTCCTTCCCTCTTTCCAATGCCACGTGAAGCCTCCATGAGATTAATCAATGTGGGAACGTTTCTTGTACTCTGGAAACAGGTCAATATGCGAAGTTGACTACTTGTGTCCTTCCTCTTAATAGTTCGGTTCTTGTATTGTGATGTAGCCATTTGAGCCGGCTTGTATACTGATATAACAAGAGGTGTTGTCATAAATGTCGTGAATAAAGCCATTAAAACCATGATTGCAAACGTTTGATCATTCAGAACCTGAAAAGTAAAAGAAAAAGGAAAATGAACTCAAATATGGAATTGTGAATTCCAGTTCAATCTTGAGTTACTCAAATAGTCGAACATGAACTTACGCCTCGGTCTCTCCCAATGTTAAGGACAATGAGCTCCACTAAACCTTTAGTATTCATGAGGAAACCTAGAGTAACCGCCTCTTTAAAAGGCACCTTGTAGAGCATTGAGACTACAACAGTACCAACAATCTTTCCGAAACAAGCTGTAAAAATGACCAAAACAAGAAGACCCCATGATTGAGCGCCTTGAATGGTGGCTACATTTGTCTTCAGTCCACTTGAGACAAAATACAATGGAAGAAATAGGCCAGACACAAGATCCTCAACCTTTTCCACAAGAGCGCCTGCAAAGGGTCCCTCCTTTGGGACAAGAACTCCAAGAACAAATGCCCCAAAGAGAGCATGAATTCCTATGGAATCTGTCACAAATCCAGCAGCCAAAACAGCAACCAGTGTACCACATACATATATCTCATTTACTGGTTCACCCTCAGGGCAGCGTCGTGCCATCCATTTGAAGATAGGTGGGGCAACAAATATGCACAGAATTACGAAACCAGACCCACACAAGAAGACCCACAATGAAACGAGGGGAGAACTGTCTTTGCCTGACAGGGCAATAGCCAGAGCAAGTAGAATCCAAGCAGCCACATCATTGACTGCTGCAGCGGACATGGCTATTTGTCCAACAGTGGTGGTTAAAAGCTTAAGTTCTGCCAAAATACGTGCCAAGACAGGAAAGGCAGTGATAGAAAGTGCCACTCCCATGAAAACCAAAAATGGACCCTGGCTTACACCTTGGGAGATAGTTCCTCGAAGCACGTATGAGGTCCCAATTCCTAAAATAAATGGAACACTGATTCCTGAAAGGGCAATGCTTAACGCCTTTTTCCCAGTACTTTTTAGAGACCTTGGATCCAACTCAAGGCCAACAAGGAACAGAAAGAAAAGGAGACCAAGGTTGGCAAGGGTATCCAAAACTGTAAGGCTTCTGGGTGGAAAAAGGGCCTGAAGATACGTATGGTTGCGCCCTAAAGCCGAAGGACCAAGCAGGACTCCTCCCTACACAAACAGTATCATAAGTTAAATCTTCATAGTAATTGGCGGTACATAAATCATGCCTTGCACAAAATTAGCTTTTTGTATGTGGAAAATGTACATATGATGCAATATAAGAACAAGAGGAGCACAATGAAATTACAAAGGTACTCGTGTAACATTAAGCATAAAAAATTTCCGAACAAAAAATTCCAACACTTCAATGAAACTAATATGACCATAGAAGTATTGAATCTTTTGAATTTAAAAGTACCAGTGGTGTAATAAAACAACAATACTGACACTGAAAAATATCTTCCCAATGAAGTTTCTATAATCGCAAAACTTAGAGAAAATGTTTTTTCCCCTTGAAGAATAATAATCAGGACTAGGGAAAAAAGAATCACATCAGACAATAATGAGGTGCAAAATTATAAAATTGTTGTACCATAAGAAAATGAGTGGAGGTTATAGAAAATTACAACTATCTCAGCAATCACACGAGGCTGTCTTAATGGTCTGAGAAGATAGGCGAGCACTCGGGATAGCACTGCAACCAGGCATATTTGCAACATCACTAGAGGAAGTGCATAATCAAGAGGATTGTCCCCTTGAAAAGCCCCATCAGATGTGGCTTTCATGGGTGCTGGACATTTCACTGTTGTATTGGAAGCCATTTCCAGAATCAGCAGATTTTCACTTCAATGCCTGCGTGGAAGACCATTAGCAGGTAACAATCAGAAAATAAATTCCCTCAATATATTAACAAATTATTCCATTTCCACAGATACAAGTATTATGTTCCAAATTCTAAATATAATCAAGTTTTTAGCAAAATGGAACTCAATCAAGTGTCTTTTGTTAGAAAAATGGGAAAGTCTAACCTAATTCCTAATAATTAAGAGGCTATGATTTTGACTTGCCCTTGGACAAATGAGAATAACAATTAAGAAGTCACAAGCATTCGTTTACAGTATTCTCACTTTTTCAACGGTGCCTAAGATAAAATTTCAAAATACCACATTATGCTATTTTTAACTCTATACCGTGTAATGAACAACCATTATGGGGTGATTTATTAGTTGACTATTAAATATTGACCTCAAAAGAGAAAAGCAAGTTTATACATATAAAAGTGCTCCTATTTCCAAGTCCAACGCGTATACAAGTTCAAGTTGTACAAGAAAACATATTTATTATTATAGGCATACGTCCTTCACAGAAATTCAAAACTTAGAGCTCCCAGTTTTCAGATTATTTCGTCATGCGTAGAATTAAAAAAAGGGAAGAAAAGGTTAACTAAAGGAAGGCTGACTTGACTACTACTACCCCCCCCCCCCCCCTCTTTAACTAACTTCAACATAAATACTACTACCATCTAAATTATTAGGTGAAAGATAGAATCTGTTCATCCATTAGGCTTCGACTGTTTGATACAAAAATAGTTTTAACTAGGTATGATATGTAACTTTTGCAATAAGAGTAATACAAGGACTACATTGAACAGTTTGTCAACTTCCTGTCTTGGTCTAATGTGCTAAAACACTGCTTCAACTTTATCATTGGCCAGTAAAACCAGAACTTGCACGTATGAAGCCTCCCTCTGTCCCACGACCGCGTGCAGGGGTGGACCCAGGAGGAAAATTCAGTGCAGGTGAAACCAAAATATCTTAAGAAAAAATTCTGAAAACCTAAAATAGCCTAGAGAACAATTGAAAATCTGAAAATCGTGTGAGGGTGGCCGACCCCTCTGGGCCTCAAGTATGCTCGCCCCTGATTGCCTGGTTCACTTGTTGCACCGAAAAACTCTCATTTGTCCATTCGGAGCACAGTGCGTTTTAGGCGATAACTAATAGCTGCAAGCCTACTAATCTGCCAATTCGTCAAGAGTCGCAAAAGTTCATTAACAACTAATCAACTTGCTCATAAGCCACAGAATGAAAAGGAAAAAATCAATTACCTAACTCATTTTCTATAGTGTCTAAATGATACGGGGGGAAATCACAAAGAGACCCTCAAAAGTCTGAAAAGGAGAAACTATTCAACAATTTTGCAATCTAAATGATCACCAAGTCACGCGTTTTTGTTCCTTCGGATGCTGTGGAGAAGACGACAATAAAATAAAAATTATTTGACCATATCGTAATTCCACATGTGGGTCGCATAGCCGATCATCCCATGAAAATTGTGAAAAGATATTTGAATGCAAAAAAAAATACAAAAACAGTGGCATATTCGTCTTTATACATATGAATTTAATTCAAAACTTGCAGTGTGCAGATTACGTGTCTTCATTCGAGCCAAAACATGACAAAATTTTCTAATTCTGGGTTTCCATTTCCAAGATCAAATTATGCAGTAGTTCCAAAAAAGTAGATAATGTCAGTAATACCCTGGCCTTACCCTACCATTAAATTCACAAAACCGACGTATCTTCTTCCAATTCTATTCCAATTCCAATTCTTCAAATTCTGGGTCTTTCTATCAAGCCCTCGTAAACAAACTTTAATTTCGTTTGCGTTAAATTCCCATAACAAACTTAACCAAAAAGATATTTGTTAAAGAACACATGAATGTATGGCGTATTCATCCCCCATTCCGAACACTACAAAACCCATATATACGTGAATTTATACATGCATAGGATAGAAAGAGAATAAACCTGAACCCGTGAACTATCAGAGAAGATTTACATTTACGAGGATTTGTTTATCATCACCGCCAACATTTTTTTAAAATTCCCTTCCATTCAACTTCGTAAAAGGGTTAGCCGCTAGAGAAAGAGAGAAGTTTTAAGGGGACAGAGAAAAGAGATCCACAGATTATGGAATGGAAAGGGAGGGAGAAGGTGACTCGTAGAGTTGAACACACGGTCCTTCCATTGTTACATATTTGTAGAGCAGTTAATATTTTTGATATACCTATAATGCCCTTGTTGACTACCAGAAATACTTTTGACCGATACGAATGAACTTGGACATTTCCAACTCTTACGCTAAAACACCATTTTTCCCTGTGTTACACCAAATATTGCAATGTGCAATAATATTTACTTACACCATTTTACATCATATTTGATTAAAATCCTTTTTTCCATATTTTTATTTAGCACCAAATAAAGTTAAGAGTATCTGTATCATTTTATATTATACATAAATTTTAAAATTCTTAATTAATTAATTTATTATCTGTGTTATTTTAATACGTTGTTTTTTAATAACATGATTTAATAATTTCTTAATTGTGGCTATTTTATCAATTGTACTACTTTTTTTAATTTGTTGACGAATTTAATATTTTCATTAATGAAACGTAATTATATAAGTGGTTGTAAATTAAATAAATAAATAATTTTTTCGATAAATAAATTGTTATAAATAAAAAATGATTAAACACCATTTATTTGGGGTAATGGTTTGTAGATAATTTTTAGTTTGATGTAATATTTGATGCAAAACTTACCTCAAAATTTAGTGTAGGTTGGAGATGGCCTAATGGAGTTGAAATCTGTTGTGTGAAATTTGTTATATCTTTAATAATTTTTTCACACTTTACCACATTATTTTTCTTTAACAAATATGGTGTCGTCTTTTTATTTGTTAGGAACATGTGATGATCCAAGGTGTCAAAAATGAATGATCGACTGTCAATTAAATAACAAATTTGGTACGCGACACTTTAATATTATGAAATATATTTCATTTCTCTGTGGCACACATGTGACATTAAATGATAGGAACAACCAATTTATTGTACCTATCATTTAATATCACTCATTTTATATGTCGTTTATTGGTATCTATGTTGAAACGTAAACAAAATCTGTGATGCATAGCATTAGTATGTATAAAAAAATGCTCAGTTTCGAGTTTGGTACTTCGTTGAGTGATGTTACCCCTCCGAATGGTTCGATTTCAAAAAGAATGAAAATCGAACTAAGCACCAATGATTGTCTTAAAAGTTAATAATCACATCCAAAATCATAACAATAAGCCTCATTCAATGGCAAAAGAAAAGTTTCGTCTTCATACAAAAAATTGTCTATAAAAATAATTCGCCATAATAACAAATAAACTTAATTAATTAAAAATAGATGGATTACAAGTTCTAGGTTCTTGGTTCAAGGAACCATGATCGTTTAAATTTTAAGCAGAATCTCACCAGGCCGATCAATTTTGTTTCAGTACGATTGGTTTCGGATCTTTTGCCATTACAATAATTTTTAAAATTTCTATAGTTTAAATTGAGAAGATTCTATTTTCATTAATGATTCCTAAACCCGAAATCTTGATTACTAATGGTTGAAAGAATTTAAAATAAACCCAATAACGTGTATTAATTAATTTTAAAATCGGGCAATTAGTACAAAAAGGTCTTTACCTTTCAATATTATTATGCAAAACATCCTAACCTTTTATTTTTTGACATTTTCACCTCTATTTTCATATTTCATTATGGAAAAGGCCATTGTCATCCAATTTCTCAGTAAAAAAATGTAAAATGACAAATATATCCTCTTATTTAAATAAAACAAAAAAGAAATTAAAAAATTACGATTGTACTCTCAAACTTTTTAAAAAATTACAAATAAGTCCAAATAAATTATTAAAAAGACAATTAGCACAAAAAGTCATTACCTGTCAATATTATTATCTAAACATTCATACCTTTTATTTTTGAAATTTTCATATATTTTCACATTTCATTGCCGAAAATCATCATTTTCATTCATTTTTTTAATTAAAAGCTATAAAATGATAAAATACACTCCTATTTAAATGAAACAAAAATAAAGAAAAGAAAAATAAAGAACAAATTGTCTCAATTTTTCAAAAAAGTACAAATAAAATTACATTTTTTAATTATTTATTTGGAATTTATTTGTACTTTTTGAGAACAATTGTAAGTAGCAACAAGTAAAAGAAAAGAAAGAGTTGGCAAAATTAGGTACTTGTTATTGTAATTTTATTTTTTCGATCCTGAAGCCAAACCTTTCCACGTGCTTAAAAATTATAATAATATGTACAAAATAATATGCAATATATAAATTATGCTTGTCCTAATTGGGAAATGTCCTCCAGTATTTAAATTATCGTTGTGCTAATTGGGAAATGTCCTCCATTATTTAAATTATGCTTGCCCAAATTTAGAAATATCTTCCTTTCAATGTGAGGAATGGCGTGAGCACATGAACACTATGATTAATGATGCTACATTTTCCATATTCAATGAAAATCAAGAAAACTCCAATTTTCAAGAAAAGTAAGAAAACCAAATTTCATGTAAAATTTTGCTATCAAACACCACAAAATGGGTAGAAAATAGAATTTCCATTTTTCATGGAATTTGATCCTATTGAACATGGCCTAAGTCAATATTCACATGTCCCATTTTTTTATGATTTTGTAATTTGTTAGCATGTTAATTTGCAAGTCAAGTCAATTTTAACAGCTGTTTCACTCTGAACCTCACATAAAAAGTGCCTCAACTGGTGAAGTTACCTTCTAAAGAAATCACATTCCCCCTGTGCCCTTTGCATAATTTTCTTGCAGATCCCATGTTCATGCACCCATGATCCATGATCAATAAACGAGTATCAGGCCTAGCCCACCAGAATATACCATCAAAAAGTCAATCTTTTTTCGTGGGCCCCCATACATGCAATTTTCAGCTCTGTACACTCGTGTATTTTATAAGCTGTTTAAAAACGACGAAACATGCGGAGAGGAATTTAAGATGTACAATAATAAATAGATCTTGTAGCACTCATTTGAAAGGGTATTAGGGTCTTTTAATAATTATATTTTGTCTCTAATGAGTTTTTAGTGCCAGCATATTTATAAATTGTACACATGAATACGAGCTTAACTACAATTAAAATATAATCTAACTAATAAAAATTATAGTAACAACATAATCACCCTAAAATAAATGGTTGCAATTATTTTCTTAATTTTTTTTTTTGGTCGAATTCTTATTTTCAACTTTTCATTAATTAGTACATTTCATCCTTGATTATGATATATCATAGGGGTGGGCAAAAATCAAACCAACCCGTGTAAAATCAATTGAATTGAACCAACCCGACCAATTTGGGTTGATTTTTGCTTATTTTTTAAGTGGGTTCGATTTTTTTGCATGGGTCGGGGTGGGTTGGATTATGGGTTGAACCATCAAAACCGACAAAAATCACCCAACCCGGACTGCATAATTAGAAAAAATTTTAAAAAATGAAAAAAAAAAAAAACATAAAAAAGGTAAAATCTCGTACTTCCCTCAAATTCTATCCACTCAAATGTTGAAGCAATAAAGCCTTAAACCTAAACGCTCTCTGCCTCTCTCATTCTCTCTTGCCAAATGCCAAATGTTAAAGACCTAATCTCGTCGTCGACTCTATTTCCGATCAAATTGTCGACATCGGTTGCTATTTCCTTGAATAGTATTTTCAGTCCAAATAATTATGACTCTGTAGTTCATTCCTGATATCAAGTCCGTAATTTTTTAAGAGTCTCCATTAACTGTGCTATTTTAAGATACATATATTATCATATGTTTTAATGATTTTTTATCATACCTTGTTGCTTCTTTTTATGCTGGTGTTATGCAACGTTGAAAGTTTTATCCTACTGTCTATTTTTTTGAGTTTAAATACCAATAATGCTATTGGAGTTGGGGAAAATTGTTGACTGTGAGTTGAAACTTTGACTGCAATGTAGGAGGTTTAGGCTCTACTTTTATCGATGTTTTGAGCTATTATTGGAATGATTCGTTGCTAAGTTTTTTATGGATATTTGGTGAGCTGACCAACCCGACCCGACCCGACCAAAACTTGGTTGGGTTGGGTTTCGACCTTTGCATGGGTACGTTTAATTTCATATCAAACTGATCATGTTAGGTTGGTTTGGGTTGGAACAAAAATCTACCCAATACAATACAAGCCCACTCCTAAATATATGTCAAAATACTTTGTTTTTATGCTTCGGAATGATGGAAAAATATTTTTCGTACTTTTTTATTTTTTTTTTAAAATATGATGAAAAAAATAAGTTTTTGTACACTATTTTAACGAACTTTTTGGACATAAACTATTATCATATATAAAATGTGTTAACTAATAATAAATTTAACGATAAGAGTGTCATGAAAAATCATTAGGGACATAAATATTATAATGAGTAAAGACTAAGAACTTTAAGCGTAATTAAAATGTGATGTAGAAAATAAAAATTATTTTGTGAATATAATTATCCTTTATTTTATCAATAATTAATTATGACCTCATACTTTTACAAACAAATTTTTTCCAAATTATTAAGGACAAATGTCCTTATCTAAGCCACGCATGAACAATAATTTTTTTCCTCCAAAATCCAAATTTAAGCAATTGAATTAGTCTCATTTAAGGTGAAAAGAAGTTTAATAATATTTTATCAACGTTAAAACAATTGACTTATCCATTCGTGACATATTAATAGGCAATGCGAGAAAATAATACCATGTTCCTCAATTATTTGGAAAATAATAATAATAATAATAATAATAAAATATATATATAATGTAACTTACTTACGCAAGAAATACTTTTGATATTATTTAATCTAAACAATTATTTAAAAATAAATAAAAAATCGCTAATGTTTACATATGTAAAAGTGGATACTATCCGAGTAAAAAGTTTGGACAGTCATCAAACTTCCCCCTTTGTAACATTGTGGTCACTGAACTCATTATTGCGGCTGGAGGGTCACCGAACTCCCAAACCCACCGCCCCGTCCATCACCCGGCGTCCCAGCCGTTTGGAATCGTCCGACGTGGCTTCACGGCAGCTGAAGTGGCAATCGACAGCGT